CTAAAACAATCTAATTTGATAAAAAAATCGAATTCAATTTCATTGAAATCAATGAATTTTGATTCGATCTAATTTTATAGATTGTTTTTCGGGCGGAGAATAAAGTGAAAAAAGATCCGACCAACCTTGTCATGCACACCCTAATTTCAAACAGTACACTAATGCGCGTGCTTATTTGATGAATTATGACATGATTGTGATTAAGACAATTGTTTTTATTGCTTAATCCTAGTGTCTTTGAACATTGAATTGTCTTTTATTGCTTGATTTAGAACTCTTGTCTTGTCATTTTTCGTGCCCTGAAAGTGATTAAGACTCATATCCTACTCTCATTTCAAGATTAGGAAAAGCAATTAATGTGATCATGCCAAAGTTTTACAAGGGATTTGATTTTTGACGCTTCTGTACTCCGCTAATCTGATTGTGGCTATTAGATTTGTTTCTTAGATTCTAAATAAAAAAGCATGATTGAAGAACGAGGATTGTGGTGAGTTTGCAAAACATAAAAGACAGAACCAGACCATAACTACTATGTTTTCATTAGGAAAGGAGCCGACCAAACCATCCCATATCTCTTGCCGACGTTTTAACTTAATTGTCCTTATCTTTAATCTATGTGGTACTCTAGTCTTTGGTTCATGAGTTTATTGTATTCTACTCTATTTATGAACAAATAATTACAGGTTCAACTAGTTGATTTGTACTCTGATAAGAGCACCGCCTATTACAGGGAGAGATAAAAATATTACACGACACATGCATGTTCTGTTAGTCACTAATTTCTCACTAAAAAACATGAAAGGGTTAGAATAGGTTTATTATTGGAAAAGAAAGCTTATTATAAATAATAAAAACATAACTTGTCTTGCTTTTGCTTTTCGATTAACACGTGGAAGCAGAGGAGACTGATTTGTCATTAAAGGGGTGCCTTCACATGGCCCCTACCCTTGATCCTTTTTAACTTTTTCTAATTATAATATAAATATAAGGATTAATTAACGGTTCAAATGATAATTAATTTAATATTATTTAAATATATTTTTAGTTTGAATTTTTACGTATGTAAAAATATTTTATCGAAAGATTTACTTATTATAATTAGATGTATGATCTGACTCGATTCAAATTAATTAAAATAAAATCTTGGAAACAAGGGCAACCAAAACTCTTGTTCATAAAACAAGATGATTTACTGAAAGATTAAGTCAAGTGGGTGGGAGTGCAATAACTTGTCATTGTAACAATCCATCATCATAATTAGATCAAACAAGCTTCTCTTCAATTATTCACCACTTTTAGACCAAGAGAAAAGGAATTCTCTTGAGCTTTTTAGCAAAACCCTAACCCCACTAAAAAGGTCCACCCTTTAACCCCCATCAAGCTTTCACCTTGTTTTTTTTAGAGAAACGGAGGTAATCAACAACACTAAAACCACTCCGTACGCACAATCCGAGTCTTCATCAGATGCACACCCCAACAACAACAAGGCTTTGTCGCTCCTCGTCCATCAGCAGCCAATGGTGATTTCCTACAAAGAGTGCCTCAAAAACCATGCCGCTAGCTTGGGTGGACATTCGCTTGATGGTTGTGGCGAGTTGATGCCTACCCAATCGGACCCTGCATCCTTCAAATGTGCAGTCTGTGGTTGCCACCGCAACTTCCACCGCCGTGATCCTTATGACGGTCCCGGTTTCCTCCATCACCTGCCACCGCCACCGCTGCCTAACCCTCCTAGCTCAAGTCCAAGCCCAACGAACAGCCCACCCTCACGTGTCCCTTACTCTTACTACTCTTCTGCACCCCACATGCTGCTGGCCTTGAGAACCGGGTACTCAGGGCCGCCCTTGGATGAGTACCACCATCAGAGGGCTGAAGTCACTGACAAAACAACAGCACCAACACCCGGAAGAGGGCAAGGACAAAGTTCAGCAAAGAACAGAAAGAAAAGATGCATGGTTTTGCAGAGAGGGTTGGTTGGAGGATTCCAAGGGGAGAGGAAAGGCTGATAAAAGAGTTCTGCAATGAAGTGGGAGTGGATAGAGGGGTTCTCAAGGTCTGGATGCACAACAACAAGAACACTTTTGGTAAGAAAGACATGTTAGCTGTCGGTAACCTCAATCTTGATTGCAGCAACAACAACAGTACTAGTGGAGACAACAATGAAGATGATAACGGGAACGCCAATGCTGGAAATAGTTTTGATTCCAATAATGTCAACCACAACAGCAATAAGTCTTGTATTCAGCTTCATGTTACTAACAATGGCTCTTCTTCTACATCTTAATTTAACCCAATAAATTTATAGAATTCAACAAGCTTTTTAGTTCTGTCATTGTTCTTTGTTTTGAATCTTAGAGGTGATAGTTTCCTTTAGTTTTATATCATCTGTTAATCTGTCTTAATTTGTCCAAGAGCTGCTGGTTTTGTTCAGACTAGGTGATGTCCTGAATATGCAAACAGTATAGTTATCTCTGCTTTTGAGTTTGGTATACCTTGAATGACTTAAACCCCAAACCCTTCACATTTTTTAATTGTTTTAATTCGTCGTTTTCCATGATTCTTTACAAATTTGATGGATGGTATAGATTTGAACATTTCTATTTATGTCTGGAATCTATTACTTAATCCACCTCCTTAAAGCCAAGCAGTGTTTGATTAGTTAAGGTAATATAAAATAATACTTTGATCCTTTTGCCTAATGATGATGAGCAACAAAACCAAGTTACTTATTTGGTCACATATAATAATACTAAATCTGCAGTACATTTCCACCCAATTTTTTTACATTTCTTCTTCTCTTTTTCAATATTGTCTTGGAGGGCATGGCAGCCTTAAATTTCCATCAAACATGGACCAACCTACAACTGCTCTCCCTTCAAGGAAGTGTCGGCTATTAATACTAACTAGTATGTGTACACACATAATGATTAGCTTTTACTAAATTTATTGGTTGTTGACATAAAATGAAAAGCCTTAATCTTATATGGCGGTGTTTAAGCTTCTAAAATGGGTGATTAAGCATTAAACAAATTTAGTTTCTTTCTTTCTTTCTTTCTTTCTGATAGATTTTCTTTAATTGTTTGTTTAAAAGGCAGCAAAGGATGAAGGGACAGGGATTGGGACAGTGGTGTGAGATTAGGCCCAACATTCATTAAATGTTTTCAAGCCCTATATTTAGCAAACGAGGGCAATTTTGACCCAATACAGTAGACGAGCTAATTATTTAACATAATAAGATACTAGATATTTTATTTTGAGAAGTATGACATTTGTTACAATTACTACGAACTCATCACATGAGCATGACGAGTTTCAATAAAATATATTTTTTTATTGGAACTTGTCACTCTAACATGATAAAATCTAATAAAAAATTATATTTTATTGAAATTCGTCACTTCAATGTAACAAATTTGAATAAAAATTATGTGGACGTGAAAAACTTGAATAAAAAATTATGTGGGTGTGATCAGTTCGTCTTGCACTATAACATTTATCGTAAATCCCAAATTAATTTTAGAAATAATCTAATGAGCTAATTTTTTTACCAGGGCATCGTTTAGGCCTTATTAAAACATGTCTCGGATGACCCACTCGGTCAAAATCTGATCGTGTCTCGGATGACCCACTGGGTCTAATCAGTTCAATTCGATCAAAATTTAAAAATGAAAGGGATAAATCTTTGTCTAGTCCTTGAATTTGATTATCTTTTACACATTAGTTCTTAAATTATTTTTGGATTCCATGTTTTTATTATTATCTAAAATTAAGTGCTTATCAACCCATCCAAGTTTGTAGAGAATTGGCATCTTTGGGGAGTGATGGATATTTGGTACAGAGGAGAACAATTCTCCCTAAGAATTCCCAGGCTAAGGCTGCATTTATGACGCGCAGGAATATGTGCTGATTCCTCGTTGGTTGGCCTTTGGTCCCTTGGTCGGTCCAAGATTTTTAATTCCTTTTCTCTTCTATATTTAAACCTATCTGTCATCAGCTTAATGGACTGATAAACAAATATTTTTTTAAAGGAATATACATAATTATTTTTATTGCAGTGCATAAACTATTGCCATTTGGCAAACAAGAGCCAAGACAGTATAAGAAGAAGAAAATTAGTGTTTATTAATTATTAGTTCTTCATTAACAATGATGTTTGTTCTGAAACATGCATGCCATGGCATATTTAGATCACGACCCTTTTCCCATTACAATGATTCGTGTCATGAAACATGCTCGGACAACAATTTCCTCCATGAAAAATCAAATATTATTGATGTTTAGTATTATCATATCGTTTTTTCTATTAATAAATGTTATTTGTTATAATAAATTTAAAAACAAAAATATTTTAATTTAAAATTCTTTTGAAAATTAATAATTTAAATATTATTTATTAATAATATGAATTTATATGCTAAGATGTTTGCCGGTCATTGCTATTGATGAAGTTATTTGTTACCGAATAAAGTGATCTCATATATTTATGTATTGAAATCCCACGTTGGGTTAGAATTAAAATACACTTTATAAATGATTATAAAAAGAAAAGAAAACTTTAACTCCAAACACCGACCAAATCCCATATATAATTCTCGTCAAAAAGAAAGAGCCTTTCGCTCAAACAAAGAGTTCTAACATTAGCCACCATCCGGCCCTTTTCAAGTCTTTATTGTTTGTTTGATGAATTAAAAAAATAAAAATTAAATCAATAAAATTAATAATACTGACGATCATAAGAACCATATTATCTTAATGGTTAAAAAAAATATTATTATCCATGGGTTCAAGCATGAATATGCGAATGCAAGGGTAATTGTATTGTAATTGTTTTAACGTATATAATTTTATAATCAATTGTTAAGAAAATTATAATCTTAAAAAAATATTTTTTCCCATTAGAGAAGTAGCTTTCATTTTTTCCATTTCTCTAAAATAGATGTGCTGGCCAAAGTTTGGCCTTTCGACAATCAACTTAACTCCAAAGATTCCATTCCTAAACAAGTGGACCGTCCTACTTTTTTTGTAGCTTTGCTTAAAGTCGAGAAATGAGAAGGTCGATTGAATCAATGGGTGCCAACATATTCATCATGTTGAAAATAACTCATTTTGATTTCGTTTTCGTGTTTCGAAACATGTTTCGAGTCGCTACTTTCTTCTGGGTTTTCCTCCTCAAATTCATTGGATCATTCTTCAGGTATTAACACTCTTTTTTTATGTTTATTTAAGTGTTATATTTCCTTTTAAGTTAATGTTTTTATCTGTTTGTTCGGGTCTTTTCCAGGTGGCCGATTAATGGATACCTCCAGGATTTGGGCTCAAACTTTTACGAGCAAAACGAAAGACGTGGCAATGATCAGGTCGTTGATCAAGGAAACATAGAAGGAGAGAGTTTTGCCATGGCGGCAAGCACCAGAAAGTATGAGTTTCTGTATAGGAAAAGTATTAGCGGATTCATTGAAGAACCAACGGCAAAGAGACTTACCGTGCATGGGTTCTATATGGGCTCAAATGACTCCGCCAATTGCAACGGTGGAATCCTTGATTCGTCGGACCCTGTTGGTGCTGATTTTGGGAACGTCGAGGTTGAGGTTGAGAGAAAAATAGAGGAATGTGCTCTAAGGTTTTCCTTTCAAAAGAGTTTCGACTTTGAGGAACATATCAAAGAAGAAGAGGCGGTTGAGGATTATGTCAGGAATTCTGTTGTTGAAACAACTATGGAGCAGACAGAACAAGACATCAAAGATGTTGTCAGAGAAAAAACAGAGGAATCAGTTGTGAATTTCATTGCAGAGGTTGAATCAGAAGATGATCAACATGTTGCAGAGCAGAAAACGGGTGACTTTTTTGAGAGTTCCGTAATCGACAAGTATTTGGAAAACGTGGAACACGAAAACCATGAACGGAACGCAAGGACTTCATGTGACAAAGCAACAATATTTGAAGAAGATGATAAAGAAGCGGAGTCGATGGTTTCCCCAGAAAAGAGCAGAGGACCAAGCATCATGCAAGACGATGAAGATTCAGAGTTTGGTTGGGAGCACGGTGATGATTTGATGGAGCGGCTGAAAATGGAAGTGAAGATTGCGAGAACAGGTGGACTTGCAACTATTTTAGAAGATTTCGAGTCCCCAAACATGGTGATCGGGCCACTGCAAATTGACCAAAGATATGATCACATTGCTGAGACCCAACAGCTTTACAAGAGCTACTCTCATAAGATGAGGAAACTTGACATTCTGAATTCCCAGGCCATGCATGCAATCCGTAAGTACGACTCATTACCCTTTATTTTCATTTCAAGTTTTTGATTTCTTACGTTGTTGTGTAGTATCTAAACTATTAGTCTTGATTCTTTTAATACCTAAACTTTTAAATTTTTTAAAATCATATCTAAAGTTTAGTTTTTGTTTCATTTTAATATCACTGTTCAAAATTTAACATTAACTTTTAAAACAATTTGAAAGTTTAGGTATTAACACGTTCTAAAACTAATAATTTAGGTACTAAGCACATTAAGTTTTTAACAATGTGGTACTAAAATAAAACAAATATTAAACATTAAGTATGATTTTAAAAAGATTGAAATTTAGGTATTAAAATGGGCCAAAACTGAAAATTTAGGTACTAAATGTGTAATTTATCCTATTTTTTATTCAATCTTATATGCTTAACCCGTGTACTAATGGCATCAGTATCATTTTAGAAATTCACAACTTTTTTAGATAATGTAAACTGAATTAATTTGTGCTAATGACATTAGTATCATTTTAGAGTAAGGATTGATTGAACCATCAAAGCTAATGACTTTTTCGGTCAAATTATGGTTTGGTCCTTCTAATATGCTTAAAATTGAGATTTAATCACAATATTCAATCTAACATAATTTGATTCTCTATTTTTAATAATATAATTCAAATAGACAACATCATTAGCACTTTTGGTTTAAAATGATCACATATTTTTTAAAATTGCTTCCATCTTGAAAAAAGGTAAAGTACATTGAAGGCCATTAAACTATACTCGAACAAATATTTTGATCACTTAACTTTCAAAACTTACAAAATGATCACTAAATTTATCAATTTATTATAAAATGGTCACTGCAATGTTATAATGAGTGTTATAATGAGTTTGACAAATTTAGTGATCATTTTGTAAATGTTTGATAAAATTTAATGATATTTTATAGCAATTAGATAAAATTTAATGATCATTTTGTAACTTCTAAAAGCTCAGTAACCTCTAATGTACTTTACCTTGAAAAATCCATATAAACATAAGAAGTTAGAATAGGTGTTTTAAGAGGAAAAAAAATGCAGTAGTCTTCTATCTAGAATTATATCAAATTAAAATAAGACTAAATTCAAATTTGTGTATAACAGAGGGACCAAAATTAAAAGTTAACCTTTTAACAATTGCAATCGTTCTAGACCATTAATCAAATAATTTTGGGTCCATGTTGTCTCATGTAATCTAAGGGCTTCAAATTGCAGAAGATGCCACCTAGCTTCCCATATTTATTACCTATGGAGGATATTGTCTTCTTTCTCCTTTTCAGAAAGAGATATTTTGAAAGAACTCAATTGCTAGGTGGGTCTCTATCCCCTCTTTACTCCCATCATTATTTCACCAACAAATATGCATCCAATTTCTTTCCACAAATCCATGATGCCATTAGAGGTGCATATTCATTATCAGATTGTGCTCTTTTAATGCCATCTGATGATATCTGTCAACCCATGTCTTAAGATTCTAAAGTACCCTACAAAAACATGTCTTAAGATTCTAAATCCCATTGTTGGATGTGATTACTTAGGTTTACTTCAACTAAAAGATGTACCAATTCAACTAAGCACACCTGCAAAATCTTCAGCACCAGCAATTAAGTCACTTCGTAAAGCATTGTCATTCGGACAAAGGAAGGTTGGAGCTGACCCAACAATGAAGTTGATTAGAGGATTGCACAAGGACTTTGAGACAGTCTATGTTGGACAAATATGTCTTTCATGGGCAATACTCCATTGGCAATTTGGACAAGTGAAGAAGTTGTTGGAATGTAACACCCTTGGTGTTAATCGGTATAACCAAGTTGCTGGTGAATTCCAACGTTTTCAAGTCCTTCTGCAAAGATTCTTAGAGGACGAACCATTTCGAACCGGATCCAGAGTTGAAAATTACGTCAACTGCCGATGTTTGGTTCGACGTCTTCTTCAGGTTCCGGTTATCAAAGGTGATCTATCTAATCTCCAACACGTGTTTTAAGTTTAACCTCTAAAACAAATATTGGAAATGCTCTTGCAGATGATTGCTCAAAGTATAAGGAAGATGCAGTCTCAAGTGAGATGCTAAAAGACTTCATTGAGGAATCAATGCATGTTTTCTGGGAATTCCTCAGAGCCGATAAAGACGAACCGGAATCGACCTCCAAGGCCCGGTTTCAATCGCAGGTTGCTCCGCATGAGCCTATCGATTTCGATCTCTTGAAGGATGTTAGAACAGATCTTCAAAAGGTCTGGCTAATTGCTTCCCTGAACCTCTTTGAATACATTTCCTTTTTGTGTTATAAAATTTTCATTCCCATATTGCAGAAGGAGAAGAGGCTCAAGGAAATTCAGAGAGGCGCCAAATGTGTAATAAAGAAGTTCCAAAGGCAAGAACATCAAGGGAACCTATTAGATCATGCATTGTTCATCGCTGGCGTTGAACTGAAATTGGTTTCGCGAGTCATAAACATGTCGAAAATAAACCCGGATCAGTTAGTTTGGTGCCATGAAAAATTAAAAAGGATTAACTTTATAAGTAGCAGGAAGATAGAGATAGAGCCCTCATTTACACTGTTCCCATGTTAACAACGGCATCACGGCCATCACATCTCCCCATATATGTAATAAAGGTTGCTTATTAAACTAAGTTGATTACAAAATTATAATTGGTCTAAACACTTTCAATCATCTGACAATAAATATTTAAGCATCCCGCTATAGTTAACGTGTTCAAAAATACCTGACCCAACTGACTCGATCCGTCAACCTGAGCCTAAAAAACCGAATAATTCTTTAAAAATTTATTTGATCTGGTCGGGTACCAGACCCATGATTTTCCCAAGTAGTTGGGTCGAGTCTGGGTCAATTTTTTTGTTATAATCAAATACCCAACCTGACCTGGTAATTTTAATATATATATATATAGTTTAAAATGTGACTTTGATTTTAAACACCTCTAATTATAATTACTGATGTTTAAATCTATAAATTTTAAGAACAACAAAGATTATTTTAATGGGTAAGTTGTTTGTGGCTATAACGAGGTGGCTAAGTTGTCGTTGTTTCGATACCAAGTATCAATCAATCAATCAAATCAATGTTTAATAACCCCTGTTAGTGGAGCTAATTATATCTGTCCCATGACCAAAGCAATTCCCATCAGCTAGAAACCACCCTTATTTAGCATCAATCAATTCAATCTTTATAATATTATCACTAGAACATAAAATCTTAAGCAATTGTTGAAAGGATTGGCTAAGTATTATTTACAACCAGGCTAAATTACGTTTTTCCATCATTGAACTTTGTTTGAATTCTTATTTTGACCATTTTAGCTTTCTAAAATTTAATTTGATCACTCAATTTTTGAATTATTCACATTTTAATCACATCACCTTAAAAAATCTTATGACGAGGTATCTATTTTTTCTTAAATAATTTGAATAGAGCCAAAAACATTCTTCATTTTTATGAAAACCCTTAAAATGTTCTTAAAACATGATTTTATGGTTTCTCTTTTATTTTCTAATCGTGGAAAATTTTCTTTTAAACCTCAACGGTGAGTAGCTGAAGAAGGAAGAGGTAAATTATATATTTTGATTTTACGTTGATTGCGTGATGGAAATTATATATTATAATTATTTTTGTTATAGATTTTGGATTTATTTTTGTGATTTTTAAATAGATTTTGAAAAAATCTAAATTGATAAATTAAAAGAAATTTTGATATCAACGTAACATATAAATAAATATTATTATAAAATATTTGATTCACAATAAGTTTAATATCATTTTTCAAAAGTAAACTTACCTTATATATACATACAGTAGAATGGAAAAATAATAATAAATATTTAAAATCATTATAATTAAATTTTAAAAAAATAAAAAAGAAGATTTAATAATAAGAATCATATAAAATTAATATTGGATTTATGTTTAAAAGGGACCCACCCTTTAGGCCCATTTAAATCCGAAAACGGTGGCATTCCTGGTATATTTTATCTAGGGATGGATACAAGACTTGAACTAGATGAATTTCGATTCAATTCGATTAATTGGATCAAATATTTTAAAAGAAATAAAATTTGGGTCGGATTTGAGTTTAAAGTGAAAAAATTTGACTTGACCTAACTTGAAAAATAATATAAAAATATTTTATATATTTAGGGATAATTGTAAAAATATTACTCTTTATATTATTTTTTCAATTAAGTTCCTATTTTTTAAAATAAAAGTAATAATTTTATTTTATTTCAGGTCGGGTCGAATTGGAGCCGGGTTTTATCTCAAAATTCGGGTCGGGTCGAGTTTTAGGTGGATGTATAAAATTCTCGGATCAGGTCGGATTGACCAAAAACTCGATCCATGTTCATCCCTAATTTTACTCATTTATTTATTTTAGTTAATTTCGCAAGCTGCACATTCATATTATATATTAACATTTACATTTTTAAATGTTTTAATTCAATTTTAAAATTATTAATATTATTCAATCGGGTTACTCTATCATTCTAATAATTGATTTAAAAATTAAATATTAGTTATTTAAAATATTAAATATTAATTTATTCATTTTTATAGTCCTTTTAGATATTAGATTTAAGTTGTCCATATAATATTTACGTAAGTATCTAACTTTATTCAATATTTAAGTTTCTTAAAAAAATAAATATATTTATGTCGGATCTAAACTTGTATTTAATGTCCAAACAGATTATTGGACCGATAAAGAATTAATTAAAGCAACATTAATAATTTGAGATTCTTATTAGAACATGTTTTAGATTTTATGAATCAATTTAAATTTTGGAGATATATTAGGGATGAAAATTGTAATTAATCCTTTGTTTTTTGCAGGCCATTTTCATTACATTTAGGCTTATAGCTTAGCATCAATTTAATTTGAAATTCAGTCCCCAGTCCACTGCCCGGCCGAAAAAAAAAATTCTGGAGAACCTTGTTGTTCGAGGAATTCTTCGCGGTAAGATCTTCAATGCTTCAAAAAATATTTTCTTTTGTTGTTGCTAGTACACTTTCTTTCCTTTTTTCCAAGCTTGCAAAAATAGTTTTAAATATGAACATGAGATTCGTTCTTCAGATCTCTGAATGATTACGGTTTACATTTCTCCCCAGGAATGGCAGCTTACTAGCGAACTGAAGCTTAAGTTTGCTGCATTTTTCAGGTAAAAGCTTTTGATTTTCAGTTCCACCGACACGCTCTCTCTCTCTCTTTTAATTTTATTTTCTGGCTTTAGCTATGTTATTTTCCTTCGCTTAAGTAGATGTGGACTTCTGTCATTAGTCTTTTTCTTTGTACTGTTAAGATTGCGAAGAAAATCTAAATTACTGCAGAGTTTCCAACTTTCTTTGTTTTGTTCTGCTTATGTAGATTCTACAGGTTTCTGTTGATATGATTGAATTATTTTTTTCGTCTTTTATGGTAACTTACGAGCTATTGATTATTTAGTGTCGTAACATTTTGTCCGCCATTAATTGCAAACTGTTCAAGACATTGAGAATCTTCGGTTGTTTAAAATGCTGTATTCTTTTTAAAGAACTTTCATTTAGTTAAATACTAACATGCTAAATTCTGAGGCTTAGTTGGGCTTGACTTTTTCAGACTTCGAGATTTTGAAACTTGGGATTTTTATTTATTTCTGGGCTTAACTGAGATGGGAAAATCTCCAGCAAAATGGATCAAGACCTTGCTTCTAGGGAAGAAATCTTCAAAGTCCAATTTCTCAAAAGGAAGAGAGAAGCTTGTAAGATAGAACTGACTATCTTCAAATAGTAATTAGCTCTTTAAGATCAGAAATGCCGTATATTCTAATTGTTGTTATGTGCAGAGTTCTGCAAATAAAGGCGAGGTTTGGTTTCTTCCAAGGTAATTGTGTCTGACATACCAGCGGATCCTCCATCAATTTCAGCACCTATTCCAGTGAGCAGCTCTTGGAATGCGGTGGACTCTGAGAAGGGTATACCTGCCCAATTGCCAAATGATGGGGTCAATATTCCATCTCCAATAACAGATGGAAATGATGCCGCGACTGGTGATTCTGGTTACCCAGAAGATCCTGATAGGATTAGGCTTAACCAAGCTGCTGCCACCGCACAGGCTGCTTTCAGAGGTTACCTGGTAGCTACTCTCCCTTTAAAAGTTACTGTTATACTTAAAGGTCATGTCATGCAGGGTAATGAAATTTGTAAGCCTTTCACTACTGTAGTCTTCAGCTCTGCGAAAGCTAATTACTTTTGGCAGCAACTTAACTTGAATGCATTATGCATTTTCATTGTTCTGCTTACTTTGCTTGAGTTGGCATTTGGGTGGTAATATTGGAACCTTATCACCATGCATCAAGCCTTACGTTGTGGATGATATTGTGTTTATTTAAAGTTAGGGCTATGCAAGGATTGAGTGAGATGTTATTGATTCATACTTCTTTCATGGTATGCCAGACTGTACAATTGGCTGCTTCCATGTTTTATGTTTATTTCATACTTTCTTAGCATGAATATTAAATTTAGCTCCTTTCTGTTGACAAAAAACGAGCATAGGAAGTGTAAGTGAATGATTACAATTTACAGTAACTTGGGTAGTCAACCACTCATTTTACTAAACTTATTTTTCAGATTAATACATATATCATTTTCATACAAGCATATTAAAGTTTAGAGATTTTTCAATTTGTAAATAATTGACCACATACCGATTTATAGTTTCTATATGACTTTTAAATGCAAAATTTGAAAAGAATAGCTTTTTATAAAATGTGATAGAAGTGAATTTGCAGTCAGATTAGCATGTCCTATATTAGGATTATTATCCTCCCGAAATTTGTATAGCTTTATTGATGACAATATATGTTGGAAGGCTCGCCGAGCATTTCGAACTCTGAAGGGCATCATAAGGCTGCAAGCACTTATTCGTGGTCACTTGGTTAGAAGACAAGCTGTTGCTACTTTATGCTGTATATGGGGAATAGTTAAGTTGCAAGCACTAGCTCATGGTCGAAAGGTCAGATGTTCAGATATTGCCATTGAAGTACAGGAAAAACATCAAAGACTGCTTCAGGTGATTTTTCTAACTGACCAATGGATGATAGCCTGTCTCTTCTAGCTACCCTGACAAAAACTATAAACATCAGCTGTACGCCTTAGTTATAATTTTTGTTTCTGTAAAGGGTCTATGAGAATAAAGGTATTTTTTTTGTTTGATTATATCTCTATCAACATGGGCACTGATACAGTAAAAATAATAATAAAGGATTATTTGTTTAAGGACGCTCATCTGAAAATCAAACTAGAGCTCCCTCTTGTTCCATTATGTGGTATTTTGAGTAGCTAATTACACAGCATGCTTCTAAGCTAGCTATTTTTTATTTATTTAAGCAGGACTCTAAAAGCCTGGACTCTGTCAGAGTGAGCACTTCTTCTAAGGTGAAGAACTTATCAATAATGTGTTTGTTCAAAAGGTATGGTTTACTTTCTCATACTACTATTGGATTCTGCTTACCATATAAACGAGAACTTTGCTGATAGAAAGTCCATGATGTTTCGCCTTTAGAGGACATTTTCATGCTCCTAAAATTCCTGCTTTTGTCACCACAGTAGTTGTTTGATGCATATATTGTGAACATATCATTGCGCTCCTATTTCTTGTGCTTTAAACATGCGTTTGTATTGCAAATATTCTTACTATTTGTTGTCTTTAGTGTTTTTCTTTTATTTTCCTCTGTAGTGCTTAATGTATATGATGTTAGTACAATAGAGGCATCTTTCCTATTTAAACTTTCCACTACCAGTCATATCTAAATAGCTCTATGCCCCATCTTTATCTTGAGAGCCTCCATGTTTGAGTCTTGTATCTCACCTTCTGAGAATCATTCCTATTATTTGGGTGCCCCCTTGTACATCTTCTTCTTCTTCTTTTTAAGCTTGTTTATCCATCTGCCTTTTTCCTACTCTTAGTTCTTGATAATGTTTGATTTATTCTTCTCAGAGGACTTAAATCTTAGAAAATGCCTTCAATTATTTTGGGTCCCCACGTATGGGACTTTCAATTGAACATCATGAAATGATAAAAAAAGGTATCCTGTTATTCCAAGTGCTTAAACTTTAGAACTCTAGCATCATTAGTCAAATATTTTGCATGGAAGATTTAGGTCTTCTCTTGGTTCCTTCTTCTTTGAAATGGGTATAAACTTAGTGATGATTTTTCTTCTTCTCCAAACTGTATGTGACTATGCATTTCCATCACTTTCAGCTTCTGGCCTCATCACCTGCCGTATTACCTCTACGACTTCAGTATGGTCCAGAGGAACCTAACTCATCCTGGCAGTGGCTTCAACGATGGACAAAGTCACGTTTCTGGGAATCTACATCAAAATCTATTAGGAGTGGGAAGGCAAAGCGTAGTGTTCAGAAAGTGTCCAATGCCAAAGTTGTCAATGGATCTAATCATTCTACCCTGGAGCATGAGAAAAACAAACAAGGACTGAGGAGAGTTTCTGGCAACTCAGTTGCTGATTCAGTTCGGGAACATCCACAAAATGAGCTTGGGAGGGTTAAACGCAATTTAAGAAAGCTTTCTGACCCTTCCAAGGAGGTTGCTGATAAGTCTGATGTTGTTAATGAGAAACCAAAGAAGCCTCTGAAAAAAGCTTCCAGTTCTAATAACCCTGATGTTTCAGAACAGGAATCTGCTGAGAAGATGAGCAATGTGAATGCAACACTATCAAAACTGTCAAATCTTGAGGCAGATCTGAAATTGTCTTCAGAAGATGCTTCTCTTAATGAACCTAACGTCTGTCCTGCAGTTGATTTGGCACCTGCTGAAAACAATGGTAAAATTGAGCACATGTCAATGACAGGGGAGTCAAACTCTAAGGATGAACAGGTCAGTGATGAGGGCTCAAAAGCAAACCAAAGAAGAGCTTCTTTCCCTGCAAAGATTAATAATCAGGTAAATGGGTTTAAGAACAATCCAAAAGTGCCCAGTTATATGGCATCAACTGAATCTGTGAAAGCTAGACTTAAGGGTCAAGGTTCCCCAAGGTTTACCCATGAGGTTGTTGAGAAAAATGAGTTACACAGGCGATATTCTCTGCCATCTTCAACCAATAGTAATGCAAATTCACTGTCCTCAAGTGCTCAAACACGGGTTCGAGTAGCTGGAAAAGGTGCCATCTCCAGTGACAAATCTCAATCATCCTCTAAAGATGCTAATGGTAAGCACTAAACACAACTTAACATTGGATGCGTTATGGGCTTATGTTGTGCATTTTGTTTTGCTATATCAGTATTACCTATGAATATGCTGCTTAGTTTTTATCCTTTCTTTAAGTAGGATTTGGAAATTGACTCCTACAGTAGTACACAAATTCATGTCTACATGTGTACTTAAACATGCTCTTGTGGTTGTTCTATCTAGTAATTAGCATGCAAGTTTCAGTTTGAGGAAGGCATCCGAACTAGATTGTAATTGTCTTTGCTTAATGAATCTTTATCAATATTCTTTTCTCATATTCAATTAAAGTAAGGTTCTCTCCCTGTATGCTGCTTCTGCATGATGACTATCCGTAATTGTTGACTTGGAAATTTCAGATAAGGTGGCCAGAGCTGAGTGGAAGAGGTAATTTTTGCACAAAGAGTTTTTTCGTTGAAGTTCTCATGGAGTTCAGGCATAGATGCAAGTTGATAGAAGTTTCGTCATGCGTTTTTAAATTTGCTCTTTGTATTGAGGATATAGTGTGCTTGGTGTATGTTTCAATTTCCTCGGTACTTTCAGGAGTGTAGATGGGTAAATATTTTTTTATGGTATGGTTGGTTATTTGGTTTACTTTGGTCCTTTTGTGTTTGTATGTATAATTTTTCAGATCCTCGTTTCATCCTTTTGTTCCATTTAATATCGAGACGAATATATTGTGCTGATTTGCAAAGCTGACTCTCAGAGATCTTGATGTATGTTAGGTACTGTAAGTTGATTCTGTAGGGTTTACCATATACTTTATCCATAACAGTAGCTCAAATCTTTCGTCCGAGTACATTAGTAAATGTCTCGACATAAGAGGATGTTCTGGGCCTTCTGGTACCCCCTAACACTTGTGCCATTGTCGTAGCTCGAAAACTGTTATATACATTGCATATAGTAACTTCGATATATCTGCCCATTAATGGTCCAAAGCTATGTTTATCTAGAAGTGTCATTATGCATGTTTAACGGCTCCTTAGATTCTATGGGGGTGAAGAAAAGATGGTGGATGGAGAATAAAAGTGGAAATGGTTAGAATTTTATGCAACTTTTGACCTGATAATCTTCCCAGGAATCCATCTAATTCTATCCTGTTATTGCGTCTAGATTAATCTGTCAATGGAATTATCCCAGCATCTTTTGTCTCACAGGAACCGGACTCTAAGCGAGTCATAATCCATCACTATTTATTATTATTACATTTTATGACTTGAATTTTATTTTGTCCGACCGTGTGTTAGCGATAGGAACCGTTTAGCAAAGAAATAAATAGGAGAAAAAAAATGGAATCCCTCCTAGTTCCAAGGCTTTGTGCACTAATTATTTCAGACTGACACACGTTGCACACATAGTTTTTGTGGGTGAATCTTCCAACGAAGATTTTCTGCATACACAAGAACTTGAACTCGAGAGCTACTTAAGCGATATCAAAATGCTTACCACTTGAACCAATCCTCTTAAGTGATATCAAGATTCTTATCACTTGAACCAACCCTGTTAGTATTACAAGACCTATTTAATAACTAAATCTGATTTAGCATCAATAGGAAACAAATCAAACCAAAACGAAATACTCATAGTTACGTCTCAATTGAACAACTAAAGCCGACTTGGCTTCAATGCCATTGTTAATGCTTTCAAACTCTGTTGCTGATACTGCCAAAGCTCCTGTTATCAGTCTCTCGGTTAGTTTCGAGTTCCCAAAGTAATGCACGTATCTTTAAATGTAAGACAAAGCTTCACAATAATATCCCATGTTCAAGGCCGAATTTGCTGTTTCAAGTCCACAATCGACAATTTCTTGAATGAGGATAGACGATGTGTTGATTCCAAGGTTTGTGAACACCGGAACAAGCACTTGGTGAAGTCGGTCGATGTTTGGCAAAAGATTGAGGCATAAACAAATTGTTTCTTGATTGTAGAGGTGATGAAGTCACCTGTTGTAGGATGAACACGAATATGTTATAGATCAACAATTAGTTGGATTCGGATGAATTCAGGAGACATGTGGTGGATTTGCTGTTTAATCCCCGATTGATGAACACGGTGAGACATGACTTTACATTCATAAGAAATTGAAGCCATTAAAGAAAACTAGAAGAAGAAGCTTTCAACTATCAAAATCGGATGAATAAACTTGTAACACCGGCAGGGTATTTAAAGGGAGTTAATGACGGTATGAGAATCCTATATCTTGTACGAATAGGAAATCTTGTATCTTGTAGAATAAGAAATCCTACCTATTGGAAGAGAGTACATATTTGTATTGGTAACAAACCCTATCACCTGTGAACTAAACCATGAATGATCTCATCATGTTGTTTTTCATTCAAGATCCAGCAAACCATTGTGAAGATGAGCCACGAGAGAACCAAGGATGTTTCTTCACATTCACGTAATGCAAGCCAAATAGATAAGAAACCCAGATGCATGGCATGTAAAACAAACATGATAATATGTGTAAAGATGAAAGAAGACTACACATCCACCAACCTTGCCTTCATAGTTAAAGCTTTGAGTGTTCATCTTTATAATTATGAGTGTGAGGTGCCACCCAGAGTTCCCCCAAACACTTCAGTAGAAACAGCAGAGCCCATAGCCCCAGTGAAGTGATCAAGGGAACTCCAGAGGACAGCCGACTCTCCATTTCTTGCTTGTTGTTTGATTGATGCTTAGGCAATAGAAAGGTGGCCTACCTATTTGTAGGTGAAGGCTCTATACGTGCATGGGCCAAGTGACCGTATCCCTTCAGCCGAAGTTAAGACTTGAGACTAAAGTTATTGAAACTGAACATAGCCGGGATTACGGCGTTTGGGGGATTAGAGATGATGAGATAGAGAATATTCTTGATCAGAGTGGAAAGAGTTATCCCCACACCTTTTCCGTTCTATATATTATCATAGAGAATATTCTATGGGGAAGTGAAGAAAATGTTGGTGGGAGAATTAAAAGTAAATGGTCAGAATTTTATGCAGATTGTGGCTTCAAAATCTTTCCCAAGGGATTCACCTAGCCTGCTACTGCGATTACATTATTTTTCCCATGGCAAATATATTTTGCTTCACATGAAATAAACCAAACAACCAGCAGATGTGTGTGTACTAAGATGAAAAAGAAGTTTTGAATCCAGATGAAGTAGCATGAAAGGCAAAGCCATGATTCTTTTGCATTTGAATCAATCCTGCAAATAGGGTATGACCAATCCTGCAAATAGGGTATGACCAATCCTGCAGACTTTTGTAATCAACAAGAGTTGCTATTTTGAAGAGATTGATCAATATTGCCCATCCCCTCGATTAAAGACAAGTAAGTGGTGTCATCAGGGGTAATTCCTTTACTAATCATCTCCCTTAGGAGATCTTCAGCAATATCCCCTTCCTGGTTTTTGCAAAAACCCTGTATAAGGGCGTTATAAGTAAGAAGGGTGGGATTGAAACCTGTACTCATCATCTCATCACGAACCCTCAATGCATCCTTCATATCACCTCTCCTGCTATACCCACTAATCAGTGTGTTGTAACTAACATGATCCGGTTTGATTCCCCTTCGTTTCATCTCATCGAGAAGCTCTCGAGCTTCTTCAACTCTCCCCTCCCTACAACGACCTTGCATCAAAGTATTGTAAGTCACGTCGTCCGGAGGAACATTCAATTTATCCATTTCCTTAAACAATGAAAATGCACGCTCCATATTGCCATTGGAACAGTGACCATCAATCAATGCATTAAACATTATCACATCTATCGCGACTCCCTTCTTCAATATCTTTTCAAACAGGTTATCGGCTTCCGTCATTCTATTCCGTTTACCCAAAACATAGATAAGTGAAGTATAAGTCATCCGTGTAGGTTGAATCCCCTTGGCTAACATCTCATCATGAAAACCGAAAGCTTTCTTCAGATTCCCGCACCTGGAGTATCCATTAATCAAGATGCTATAGGTAATCTGATCAGGGACCAACCCCTTTTCTCCCATTTCTCTAACTAGATCATCGGCCTCGCCCATTCTACATTCCATAAATAGAGCATGAATTAACATGTTGTACGTTGTGACAGTTGGCAATATACCCAGCGCTACCATTTCATCCCGATAACCAAATGCCTTTTCCAGATCCCCTCCATTGCAGTAACCATCAATTACGATGTTATAAGTCACAGCACTAGGAATCAACCCCATTTCTTTCATCTTCCCAAACGTATCAGAAGCCTCCTTAAGTCTTTTATCCCTACACATCCCACTAATGAGTGAACCATACGTGTAAGAATCTGGTTGAATACCTTTACTTCTCATTGCATTCAAAACCAAACAAGCTCCATCAACTCTTCCTCTTGAACAATAAGCATGGATTATTGTGTTATAAGTAACAACATTCGGATTAACCCCTAAATTCTCCATGAACCCTACAAAATCTTTAGCCTTTTTAAGCTTTCCTTCCTTGCACAACACATTTATCATTATATTAAACGTGTAAATACTCGACTTAATCCTCATTTTAAACATCTCAGCGTAGAAAACCCAAGCACTTTCGGTTTTATTCAACTTCAAAAGCGTACTTAAAATAACATTACAAGTCTCGATCTTTGGAATTAAACCCTTCTCTTTCATCATATAAAAACACTCTAATCCTTCATCCACCCTCTTCATTTCACAACAAGCTTTTATTAACAAATCAAAAAGAATAGTTGTTGAAATGCCTAACCGTTCACGCGCAAGTGCCAGGTCATTGAAGATGGCGGAAACACCGGCAATGTCACTAGAAATAGTTTGCTTTAAGAGTCGTAGAGTGGGATTGGGAGATGGGAGCCGTGAGACAACGGCAATGGCAAGGTAACGGATTTTGAGATCGAGTCGGTGGAATTCAACATGGGAAGTAAATTGGAGAGCTAATTGAGGGGTTTTGTGGAGATTAAAGAGGACGGTTGATATAATAGATGGGTCGAGGTTAGGTGAGTGGTGTTTGATGAAATGCCACTGAGAAGAGCGGGCTGCCTCGACAAGTAGCTCAGGGGTTATTTCTGACGATGGAGATTGTGATTGGTCGTTGGTGATTGGTTGAGAGGTTGAAGAGAAAAAAGCAGACGGCAGAGACTGTTGTTTGAGTTTCTGTTGTTTGAGGATTTGAGGCGCCATAAGTTTGTGAGCTTTCATGTTATGGAAAGTGCAAACCCGCTGTACCGTCTTGTTCCGGTGAATTCCGCTCGTTTCGCCGGTAATTTGAGGTACCGGCTGGAACCAAAACTGAAACTTTTAATCCCCTTATCTTTGAAAGAAAATACACAGAGAGAGAGCAAGAGAAGAACTAACGCAAATACGGAGAAAAGAGAGATTTTCCAGTGTCTGTTGAAGGAAACATGCACTTGTAAAACCACTCTAATCTGAAGCAAAGGACAGAACAAGAGGAGAAGCGGCGTTGCCAACTTGGGAAAAGATGAAGAAACGAACAGGCGCACTGAATCAAAATTTGGGCTTTAAAAAAATTGGGTAAACCACACCAAAGTCACTTTTTAAATATGTTACTGAACTAGTTAAGAATATTAAATCTGTTGTTTGTCTCCAACTGAATGGTAGAAAATTCAATAAAGTTGATAATATGAATCTTATTCTCTACAATCATTGGGGTATTGCTGACCAATGAATTTTATAATGTAATTATTTGTATTGAACTCTGATTGTATTCTGTAGCGTATCGCTATTTGGATAATAAAATTTTGACTTATCCAAAAAAAAAAGTCACTTTTTAATTAAGTTTGATAATAAATAGATCACTTTTTTCTAAAAAAGTACAAACAAGTCACTCTATATTAAATTAAGACAATTGGACTACTCTTTTTGGTTCGCTTTAACTTGTTTCATGAAGATTATCTCAAGTGCTCGTGGTGTTATATGAAACTAAGAACTGTTTAACACCATGCATCAACCCCATAATTCATGGATCCACATTCAGACAACTGATTCATGATCTTTGCATCACTGGCTTTGCCAACATTCACAATTAATATTACCACCAATTTTTTCTAGATAGAATAACTAAGCTCTTTTAAATCCATTCATAAAAGCAATCCAGTTACTTCAATAGGGTTTATCTTCAAAAAGAAACAAATCAAACGGAAAAAAGAAATACTCAAGAGTTGATATCTGTATCTAATGTGTTGGCATCTCGAAGCGGCAGATAGGGCAATAATGGCTGGTACTCAGCCACTCTTGGATGCAATCACCATGAAAAATATGCTTACAAGGCATCGAAGAAGCGTCGGATCCAACCTTGAGTTGCTCCAAACATATAACGCAATCTTTTTCTTCGGCTTCATCTTCAACCCTAACCTTGATTAGCATCTCGTCAACTGACGATTCTGCAGCTGGAACCATGTACTCATTGTCATCCGAATACGGCAAATCAACCCTGTGTTCAACTAGGCGTGCTTGTACCTGTGATATCAGAGGCAAGACTCGGGAATTACATCCTAGGTTAAACGCCCTTTGCGACAATCTTAATCCACCTTCACTAATATCACGGATCAGCCGACGATAAGCATCGGTGTCTGTGTCTAATCGGAGATGGTAAAAGAAGGGATGGAGAGTTTGGCCGAGTTGACTCTCGTTTCTCAGAATGTTGAAATCAAAGTAAAAGTTACTGGATCCATCCAAAGGTTGGTACGGTAGTAAATGTTTGTGGGACAATCATGGTACGAGTACGACAGACGGAACTCCATGGTTAGTTCGACCAACTCGTACGCCATTGAAGCAAGTTGAGATTCTGGGATGATCCCAGATTGTAAAAACACACGGCGGTGAAAGATACTAAACACGGAAGCCAAACTTGGGAGGCAATTAACTAAGTTTGATTCAAGTTTTGGATTTTCTAACTCTCCTAGTCCTATGGCTATTTATAAGAATAAACAATGGCGGTTTAAGGATAGGAAATTTGCTTTGTTAGGAGGACTAATTTCGGTAGAATTATTAGGTTAGGTTCCGATGGGATTATTACTACTAGTAAATCCATAATTTGCAAGAAAGCTAAAGAAAAGGATGACTCAAAGTAAATCCCAAAATTATAAATTACTCGACCTACAATTACAAATTAATTAAAAATCTTAAATAAATTATTTAAAATAAAATATAAATTACATTATTTTTTATATTCTTATTTTTAATAATATTTAAATCAAATAGTAACCCTTAAATAAAAAAATCCTAAAAATATTTCCCTTGAAGCAGCCGTTGCCGTTAGCATCTTCCGTTAGTGAGATAGTCGCCGTCGTTCCTCCCTCCCTACGTCGTCGTAGTTCGAGCCCAGCTGCCGTTAGTGCAACCAATCCGATAAGGCAAGCTTTTTTTGTATTTTGTTTTGGACTTGGGTGGCCGTCCAAGCCATCACCGGCGAGTGCCACCTCACCAGCGACCACGTAGGGAGAGGAATGACATTGACTATCTCGTTGCGGAAGATGCTAACGGCGGCGGCAGCAGCAGCAGCGACTTCAAATCAAGAAAAAAGTATTTAGAGTTTTTTAATTTTGAGGTTAGTATTTGATCTAATTATTATTAAAAATAAGATTATAAAAATATTATAATTAATATTTTATTTTAAATATTTTATATTTATATTTTAAATTAATTTATAATTATACGTTGAGTACTTTAGAATTTTAAAGTTTTATAAATTCGAGCATATATAATTTTCCAAAGAAATAAAAGTGTAAAAGAAGAAATCAATTAAATTTTTTTAAGTCTAATTAAATCTTTACCGTTAACAAAAGCATCAATTAAGTCATTCTCCCAAGCCAGGCTTGGCTTCCAAGCATCTCCCATAATATTTAGGCAAAGACAAACTAAACAGAAACCCAATGGATCGAACAGCATGATCCCACTGATCACCATGGCTAACATCACTCATCATGTTGCTCCCTTGCATCTTGGGCGGCAACGTCGTCCCCGAGAATCAGCCGCCAAAATGTAAATCATCCTAGGCCTTACAGTAATGATCGCGGAGCATGAAAGTAGATGAAACATGGTCAATAGATGTGATAACCCTAGTGAGGTCTCCATTTGACATATGATCTCCGAGGCCTTGCAGTAGAAATACCACTCTTCCTCGCCGGTGGTGGCCAGTTCTTCATAAAAAAATGAAGCAGTGTTAGTTTCCAGTTCCACACTGCACTATGTGTATATGTATGTTGTTAACTTGGAGGACCCATGGATCATATTTTTCGTGTAGAGTTACTTAATGAGCTTCATTGAGAGAGGTTGCGATAAAGTCAATTAAAAGGTTAAACTGTGTTTCATCGCTCAATTTCCCATATTTTGTTTAATCGCTTAATTTTAAAATTTATAATTTGATAGTTGAATTTTGAATTGATTTTGTTTTGATTACTCGAACGTTAAATAAAAAATAACAAGGTGGCATGCACTGCTTTTTGCTGGTGGCATAATTCATGAAGATGCGACTGTCTCTTTCCCAGTATAAACAAAAGGATAAATCATGGTTTCTAATTATAAGACATCTTCCTCACATGTGCTTTAAATGGATGTGAGCAGATTGTTTAATCTTCAGCATAGGGTAGCTCAGACGAATGAATCATTTGGACAAAGCCCTACGTTCACCGTAGAGTGCCGACAAAAACTCGAGTTTCCTCGATGAAGTTACTGCAGATGCAGGGGGCAACAGCCTTAGCAGATTAGCAAGCATTTTTAACCATGTCCATGAGTTTGTCTTCGTCGAAGTTACACAATTCTATGTAAATAGTTCCACCGGAGAATCCATGCTCGTACTATTCTTTTGCTTGTTGCAAGTTAACTGTCAATTTACACATGCATGTGATCATAACATCCATGACGCTTGGTCGGACAGTTTACACCATAACAAGAAATCTATTTTCGAAAAAGTAAACCTGCATAAAGATTCATTGTCCAAGCCATGAGCAGGTGCAAAATCTCAAATCTTCATCAAGTTGCTTGTAACAATTCCTTTATGTCATAACCTTGCAAACTGCACAACACAAGAAACAGGAGATAAATCATCTCTACTTTCGCTTTTATGTTAGGGGATGCAAACTTATAAAATTCCAAAGGGGGGCGAAAATAGTTTTTTATTAGAAAATCTATAGAAAAAATAAAATATATGATAATTTTAAATTTCAGGTGAGACTGCCCCCACCGCCCCTGGTCACCGAGCAAACTTCTATATATCATTTGTACTGAATATTTTACCTGAAGAAAGGTACGAAGTAAAATCACACCCGAATTCCAGAAAGCATGGATTGTGATAGGAGTCACCAGATTGCGAGTTTGAGCATATGAAAATCCCAAAGCAGCCCCTACAAAATACCAAGAAGTCTGTTGGTTTGACGTCCAGTGAAAAAGTTCATAGTTTATATGCATTTATCTAGATATATTTTATCCATAGTGAAGAGCGAACTCGAGCAATGATTTTTATCAACAAATCCTTTTCATGCGTTACCTAGTATAAATAATTGGAGAAACTCTCCGGGAGTGAGATGTGCAAGTGCAAATGCAGCTGCACTGATAATTACAGAAACTGGTGTAGGAACCCTGAATCAATAACAGGGGAAAACATCAAATTGTGCATTTCTGATAAATAAAACTTTCATGCTACATTTGGTAGAAGTATTATTTATTACATGTTTGAGTACATTTTAGTACATGAGTTAGCCTTGTTTAAAACATACTTCATTATCTTACAATTAATAACCCTAATATGTTCCAAGCAAGCCTTGTTTCAAACTAAAAAGATTTCATCCTACAAATCCTACTCCGTATCTACGTTTAAATAATCACATATACACTTTGGTAATTAGCATGTATTTCTTACTGACTAGATCCACCTTCTTCTAGTGTTCATAGCCTTTATAGAATTCATTATAAAATCACTTCCTGTTCTTCCATCAACCACCCCAAATTAATTTCCTATTATCTTGTCAGCAACTTATTTTATAGGGTGAATAACATCTTTGAAATTAAGGGTATGTTTTTGTACCAAGAAAACGCTTTTAAGTCCTTAAAAATTGTCCATTCTCCACATAGTTTGTCAAAAAATGGGAAAGTGATTCACAAGTTCTAATAATGCAACACAGCCAACGGAGCTTCATATAGTCTATCAAGATAGGGATAAGTAAAATACCACTTTGTCAGTGATGTCATAAAAACCCTCGAAATACTGTCCTCGAGAATGGGCCAGAACACCTGTGATGCCCACCAAGCAAGCAGTGCTACGATAGATATCAACCTGATCAATTCAACTTGAATTTCACATGCATATACTCAAACTAATAAGCTACATGTCATCCAAGTACCTGATACTCGAGGATCCAATCAACGGAAACAAGCGAACTAAGGCATCAGTCGGAAACAAAAATAGCCCCAAAAGTTAATAAAGATTCCATTAGATGCTAGAAAGCAAATGAGTTGGATTATACAGTTTTAGCTTCAAGAAGACAGTATCCACTCGAAATTCCTTAGAGAGCAAGGTCATCTAGCTCTTTCTCAAAAAGTTTAAAAATCAAAACAAACACGAGTTAAATTCACTTGATTGTCCCTTTGTTAATAACAAATAGTTTGAAATTATTTCTAACCTCCCTTTGAGATTCCTCGCCACGAAACAAGGACATGGCAGCCCCTGTTATACCATTAGCAATAACGCACCAACAAGACCAATCTGCCCACAAGAGCCATCCTTTCTTAGTTTGAAAGGTTTTTCAGATCTGAAAGAGTACACCAAAACGTTAGATTGAAAATGTGGAATACAGCAATCAGAGAATTACAGTCAAGTTTGGCTTAAATCTTTATTAAACCTCTACTTAGCATCAACACAAAATTTTCATCTTTACCACAAAAAACATTCAGAAAGGTTGATTAGCAGCCTTTCATGCAAATGCTCATATAACCTAGAAAGCTAAAAGAATGAGAAAATGCAATTTCATATGTGGACTAACTTGACAATGCAACATTTTCTCGTGCAGAACTAAAGCAATTAAGAGGTTCGCGGAATGGATATCATAGCAGAATAGGTCTTCAGCAAGGGGCCCAAAAGTGTTGGCTATGCCATACAGAACGCCAAGCACAACTATAGTTGTAATGCCGCGAAAACAACAGCAAACAAGAAGTGTACACTTTTAAAACTTAAAAAAAGCCCCTACGATGCAATTCCATCAGTCCAGACTGTTGAAATACATAATAAAAGCATGACAATCAACATGGCAGAACTGAAAAGTAAAGAAATTATAACGCAAGTTCTACAATTCAGTTCTATGTGGAGAACCTACGTTTCAACATAGCTCATCAGAAAATGAAGTAAAGACTTACACTTGGAACACAATGTAAACAGACAGAAATCACTATTTGAAAGATCGAACCAGCGATGTTAATAACTATTAATTACGAATCACTTTGGACACCATCTACAATAATTCAGTGCAGTGATGCTACAATTCAGGTACTGCTATTCATACCTTTGATCCACAAACAGTATCTCAGCCTTCTCGTCCAAATTTAGTTCTTCGATATTAATTCCTAGATAAGGTATAGCAGCCGTCTCTAGCAATCCTGTCAAGATAAAACTGCCTGGGAAAGTTTTAATTTCGTTCTTAACCAAATATAGCATATAAACGATGACTACAGAAGAGAGAGCATCATTTCAAATCTTCACTTAAAATAAAAGTAAGGACACCTTAATCCACGGGCAAGTGAAGTTAATGAAAACTGTTTGCCATCCCATGGAACTCCCATCGCTTGAGTATCGGCCACTCAAGTTCAGTCTTCCTGGTATTTCAGAAAAGCAAAAGTGTTTAAAGGTTTTGTTAGATTGTTTGGTACAAATATCTTACCTTTTATGGGAAATTGGGATTGTCTTTTCCGGCATTGAAGAAGCAAAGTGGAAGCAGTCTCCCCCAAGTAAGCGTCGAAGTAATAGTGGGGAACTTTAATTTGTCGGGAAGAATGGCGGGTCGAGTTTGTTTGGCGAAATTTCTGGGCGAAGCACAGAGGCAGCATTGAGCTACACTTGTAATCATCGTCCCAACCATTGTTTTTGTTGGATTCAGAGTTTCGAGTCTATGATTTCGAGCAACAGAGCAGAAAACAGGTGTTCGCTCTCGAGAAGTAGAGGATAAGGTTATTGGTAGTATGGTTTAAACGAGACCTTTGCTCGAAACCCGGCAAAATTGGCCTAAAGGACAAATGCAGATAAGAAGTTTAGATTCAGATTTACGACAAAATTATCATGTTCACGTGACAAATTTATTTAAATAATAATTTTTATTAAAATTCATCACATCAACGTGATGAATTTTAAATCATTGTAATAAATATTATACATTCTAAATTAATTTTGGAAATGATGGGTCAATTCTTTACTCGTTGACCTTTTAGACCAATTTTACCTCGAAACCCACTCCAATTGGCCCAAATGAATAATTACATTTCCTCCTATAGCCCAGCCCAGTAACTCGTATGATAAAAGCATGAGTTCGTGCCACTGATGTATTTTCTCTATTCCTGTTTATGATATTATATTATTTAATTAATATACAGTATACCATATACTAAAAAATATAATATAAAGAACAAGGCGAGGTGAATAAATAATATACCAACATAAATACAATTATATTAAAATAATCTTGTAATAATTTCATTCCAAAGATTAACGTCTGTCCAATTCATAGAATAGGTTATGTGATATCAATCCAGCAAATGGAGTTGAGCTTGTCATCTATGATGAACCGACAACGCACATGAACTTTGCAGCAGGAAATGAACACCCTATAACTTTATTATTTAATTTCCCTTGATCTGGTGAAGGTAATCGCATACAACAAGTGCCACAACTGAGAGGGACTGAAATTGTTATTTTCCCATTCAAT